GCCTGCCTCTTCCATGGCCCCTCCCACTTGCCTTGACCTGTCTGCCACCACTTCACTCTTGACATGTCTCTCCTAAATCTACTTCTTACCCCATAAATTTACCACTTCTTGATCCACTGTTCCAAGAATATACTAGGAAATAGCTAATTATTTGATCAGGATAAAATGCAATTCTGTGGTGTTCTAGTTTTCCTCCTCCTGGAAAGCATGGGTAAATCTTAACAATAGTCTTGCAGGCAGTTTCTTACTGCTGCTAATTTTGGGTACTATGACCAGCAATAGAAACATATCTTGCCAAAGGTCAGCTCTTATGAAACTTTCCATCTGCTACCTATTTTTTTCCCTATATTCAAGGCTGACGCTGTTTTGAAAAGAGAATCACAGATGATATCCACAGTCTGATAAGTTTTACAAATTCAAATACGTGCATAACGATCATATACACATGTTCATACACACCTCCAGGTCTTTTGAGTCATATCAAGTTGAAATATAGTTTGCTGTTTACTTTTTCTTCTGAAGTATAGCTTTATCAGAAATTGTAGACAAATGCAGCCACAAAGGTAGATGGTACTAAAAGTTCCAGTCCTCATTTTAACTGCTCTCCTTAAACTCTAGTGAAACACATACTAAGAATCTTTTTCATAATGAAAATAGATTGCAAAACTATATTATAGTCAAGTTTCCCAAATGATGTAGCTGTTTGTTTACAAGTCCACTTAACTGCATAGGAAAAATCAGTATTAAATGTGCTAGAATAGTAGAATTAAGATTGACTTTTTTACCCCCTTTTGCTTTTAGATATGCATTGCTATTATAAAAGTTATACTGTTTTTTTTAACATTGTCTAAATGTGTCTTTAAGGATGTCTAACATTACATATCTGTAGAAAGTAAAAGGTAAAAACTCCGTTCACACCTTTGTATTTTCCAGCCGTAACACTCACTAGCAATTGATATATGTTCCTTGAGACACAGGTTCTATGTTATTGAAAAAAACTTATTTCACTAATATTTATTAATTATGTATTTATTTATGTATTTAATTATGTATTTATTATTATGTATTATGTATTAATTATGTATTTAATTATGTATTTATTAATTATGTATTAATTATTTATTAATTATGTAAAACAGTATGTCAGGCACTGTTCCAGATACTTGAAATATAGAAGTAAACAAAATGGACAAAGATCCGTCCTCTTACAGAAATTGCTTTCTTTAGAGAGAAACAGATAATGAATAATAACTGAAGTGAATAAGTAATGTTTAGTATGGTAGGAAGGGTTAAGGGGCTGCAGAGTGCTCGGGCTGAAGCTGCAACTGTGGTTTGCAATTTTAAAACAGTGGTTGGGTAGTTCTCACTGAGAAGACGACATTTGGGAAAAGACTTAAAGGAAATGAGCAAGTCAGCAAGTCAACAAGTCAGCCCTGCATCTGCAGGAAGACCAGCCCAGGGATGAGCAACAGCCTTAAGGCAGGATGCCTAGCATGTTCTAGGACCAGCAAGGAAACTAATGGTGCAGGAGTGGATTGGAGAAGAGAAGGAGGAGGCGAGGACAGGGAGGAAGTAGGAAATGAGATCACGGAGACCCTTGTGGTCCACTGTAAGAACTTCGGTTCTTATTTTGCATGAGGTGGAAGCCACTGGAAGATTTGACCAAAACAGTAAACATGATATGACTTAGGTATTAAAGAAATTGCTCAGACTGCTGAGTTGAGAACAGACTGAAGGGTGGCAGAGGGAAGAGCAAGGAGAACTGGTAAAAAGCCTGTTGTGTAGGGGAGATGGTATCATACTTTGAAAGTAGACCCCAAAAGATTCCCCAAATAATTCAAAGCAAAGTGGGAGGGAAAGAGAAAAGTCAAGGACAAGTTCAGTGTTTCACTCTGAAATTGAAAACATGGTGCTAACACCAAGCATACTTTCCTGAAACAATTTTTTATGCCTATCATATTTTGATTTCCACTATACAGCTTCAGCCTGGTCCTCTGGGGATGCTTGTCCTGGGGAAAGCCATCAGCCATGCATGAAATCTGGCTAGCCTGAGACCATGCTGGAGAAGAAATGAGTAGATCATCCAGTTGTTAGCAGCAGCTGACCTTCCAGGAGACAGTCAGCCATGTGAGTGCGCCATTTTCAGCATCCATCTCTGTCATATCTTCAGACAACTATAGCACAGACGGAGGTCTCATTGCAGCTGTAGGAGAGACTACAGTCAAGAACTGCCCAGCGGAGCCCTTCACAGATACCTGGTTCACAATATCATGAGTAGAATAAAATGTGTAGTGTTTTACACCACTACGTTTGGGGATAATCTCTAACATAGTAATTGTAACAACTATCCCGGAGGTAAAAAGTGAGTCTTGAATTAGGAGATCAGCAATCAGAGTGCTAACGTGGAACTGGCTCTAACAGAGGGAGTTTAGAATTATAGAATCTGCTGACTTAGATTAAATGGGGGAAACATGACACGAGTGAGGAGTCAAAGCTGATGTCATCTTGTGTCTCGGTGACTACTCGTATTCCAGTTCCATTAAGCAAAGTGTTTAATTGCTATAATTGTCTGATTCAATAGTTCACTCATTCAATCCATCATTTATGTAACAAATGGTTATTGAGCGTGTTATATATGTTCGTTGGTGTGCTGCAAACTAGAGATACAAGGAACAAAGACATGGATTCTTATCTAGCTTTCAGTCTAGAAGGAACATGGGCTGCAAGTTGCTGTGTTCAGTGCCGAGAAAGGGTCAGCCCAGGTGAAGTGAGCACAGAAAAGATGAACTAAAAGATGGCATGTTCTGAAACCCACCAAGATCTGCCCAGCAATATCACTTCTGAGGCTTTCCTCCCGAGATTCTGATCCATTTCTTCTTTGTCCAAGTTTCTTGAAGCTTGGAACACCTAATTCCAGTTCTGCTGAGTCTGCTTCTCCATTTCCTACTGATCGAATCAAATTCCTTAGCCCGGTATGAAGCTCTGCACAAATGCCTCTCTGATGTGGTTCCTGAAGTCTCCCTTGACCTCTCTCCCAAGTCAGATGGGGTTGTTTATTGCTTCCCTAACAGGTGTGCTCATTGCAATCTCCAAAGCTTTGCCATCTGAGTCCACCTGCCTGGAACATTCACTCCTCTTCAAAGTCCAGATAGTCTAAGCCCAGTTCAAACCATCTCTCTTTATTTTGGTTATTACATCACAATGTTTTTCTCCCTTTCTGAATTCCCACAACATTTTGTGACTCGATTGTCCACGGAGAACTTCTGTTATACCAGTCTATCCATACGTATGTCTCATCTTCCTAACTAAATGTTTTTACAGAATGAGGACCAAAATGTATACTTTAAATTCCTTATGCCCAACACTGTGAATTATACCCAGGAGACATCTGACAAGTATTTCACAGTGCTGATCGCAAAGGTGGAAATGTTGATATCAATTATCCCAGTATTTCAAACTGCTTAATTATTGCATATAATTAAAGTTAATCTTTTGGTTAAAATCCTACAAATGGTTTGCTTCTTAATTATTTGTCATATAAAAGGTTGTGATTAGTTGTTAGAAAATGGATTTTTTTCCTGTTCTCTAATTTTTTGCCCATTTCAGAAATTGAAAAAAAAATGATATTGTTACCTAGATTATGAGCAACCTGGTTCTATAAATCTTGGATACTAAAAAATGGGCATTATGATAACTGGACCTGGTTTCCCAAATCTTAGCTTTTTTATGGAGCGTACAAGACTTTAAATAAAACTTCTAATAAACAAATAGTACTTTAATTATAATTTTTATTCAAACCAGACCAAGGAGATTGTGTAAATGGGATCTCTTAGATTATTAATTAGCGTGAAAAATTTAACTGTATATGTACCACTTAAATACATCAGAATGGTCTAAGTCTAGACACAACATTGTAAAATGATTATAAATCAGTAAAAAATGTTAAAAAAAAAAAGGAATGTTCTAAGTCTGGAGCCTATACTGAAATTAAGTAGTTCCATCAAAATGTTAAGGAAAATAGGGTTGACTGATAGAGAAACATGTATTTTCACAAAGGCTGGGGAAATCCTACAATCTGGAGCCAAGGCTAAAGGTCTAGTTCTGAATGTGTTATTTAAACCTCCCCTGGGAAACAAAAGCCACTGACCCTGATAAAAGTTCATCTTGACCAAACTGTTGGTTTATTTTGTATGTGTCACCTTAACAATCAGAAACAGCAGACATGTTGTTCCTCGCGTCCCTGATATTTATTTATCACGTGAGGACAAACTGGCACAAAACGACCCAGGATGGAACTTGACTTGGAATTTTATTTTTCACTCGTCCCAAATTGGCTATGAAGTTTTGGTGAAATAAAATGTCAGGGTGCGGTCCCCTTGCTGTTACACATTTTTCCCCTTTCTACAGGAGTTAGCCAGCAAGAGGGAAAGGGCACACACCTAGAATAATAGGAGGGAAACCTACACTTCCTCACTTTGCCTCTCAATCTCGTAGTGGCCTGATAGTGAATTCTCAGAAGTTGGCTAAGGACTCGAGGGGTCTCTGGACTGTTCTCCTTTCTGCTAAGTGTTTATAATCTGACCATGCCCCTGCTTCTGCCTCAGACAGAGTGAACTGATTTAGAAGAGTTAATCCAATCCAGACGTCACCGTGACAATGTCTCATCCGGAGGAAAGGCGGTCCTCCCATTCATTAGTCTTAGGTGGTTTCAAAACCCAAGCACGTGGGGAGATGGGTTACAAAGGCTTTCTTCCCTGCCAAATATATTTGAAGCAGTTCTTTTACTATCCATCTGGTAATTTGAATCTCTTAAGAATAAACCGAAGCTCAAAATTATATCTTCTTTTTCCCTAGAGGAGGAATAAGAGGAGTAATGCCATGTAGGGTGAACAGAACATATAAAGAATTTTTTTGGAAAGAAAAAAGCATATTCAAGTTAATTCATTTTGAATGTTTCAAAACAGGTTTGAGTCCTTCCAATGCAATGTGTTTTATTTTTGTTTACCTCTTAGATTCTATCCAATTGGGTGAGAGTGCTTTCAGCTGACATTTGATGATCATTTTGACGGTCACCAACAGAGCAGAGAAGTGAGGGTGTTTAGGGACAATTTACTACTTGACAGTTTTGGGAGCCAGATTCAAATGAATCTTCATTCCTTGCTCAACAGACTCGGGACAAAGAATGTTTTTGTAAAAATCACAGAGCCAATAAATTGCAGAAATGGGGATGTGGGGGCAGAGAGAAATGCAAGGATGAGCTGGAAGAAAGAGTCAAGATTTTGTCTTTGGCCACTTTATTATCAGTATGAGTGATTTTACATGATACCCTTTCTTCAGCAAAAATTCCTTCCTTGGCATGGAAGTAAATGTCTGCAGTGGTAGATGGTAGCCCACAGAGCTCTGAAATAATGAAGACCTTAGCTCACTAGGGCAGAACCCAAGGTGGCACCAAGTTTATTAGAGACCAAGTTATTGAAGACTATAGACCTGCCAATTTGATCGTTTGATGTTAGCAACTGTTCCCCCCCAGATTATAGCCATGATTTATTCTCAATAAACTGCTGTTGATTTGTAGGAAATGTGATGCCAGACACGCTTACCTACTATTGACAATTTAAATTCAGCTGGATTATTGAATAATTTACAAAGCAGACACAGACAGGGTGGAGTTCAGAACTGGGAATTTAATGGATGTTTTGGGGGAGTAAGGGGTGTGGAGATGTAATGGTCATGACTGAATGCAATAACAGGAGAAAGAACAGGAACGGTGTGGTGAGGCTAGAGTCTAAGAGACTCCAGGAATCCAGGATGGGTGGTACAGCCAGGATATGCTCTGTTGCTCACCTCCTAGCTGTCTTACTTCTTTTTGCTCTCAATTAAGTGTACAAGACTACAAATGAAAAAAGAAAACCTCTCCAAGCTTTTCTCTACAAGTCTAATCTTATCTAGTGTACTGAATTATTTATTGCTGATCAATAATGGTGATAACATTCACTTCTTATTTCTGATTTAACGTTAAGCTAAAGTATTAGAGCCAAAGAGAAACGGTCCTTTCTTATGAAGAGGTGACCTTGGCTGATAAATAGATAATACAATGTAAATGCAGGCTGCTGCACAGATACTTTATGACCTAGAATGGGAAACAAAGGGTGAAGGCTGGGAATGTCTTTCTCAAAGAGAAGCTAATGTAAGCTTCTGGAAATTAGTTTTTCAGGCAAGTTGAAGAAAGGGAAGTGTATTCCTAAGTTGATGGAATAGTATATGTTTAAAGGCACAGAAATGGGGACAATATAGCCTTTTGGGATCAAAGTAAGTCATCTTTGTGCCTAGATTATAGAATTTGAGTAGAAAAGCAACAGTTAAGTGAGAGCAGGACTTTCCAAGGGCTAACATCCCCAACACAGTGTACTCAGTGAGTAAAATTCAGGTAGTGGGGATATTGATATTTGGGACAATAATAATTCAATGAGGCAAACAATACAAAGAACATGAATTAACTCTTTTGTTCTCAGAGCAACCTGCTATTACTACCCCCATTGTACAGATGAGGAAAACTGAGGCACAGGGAGGTTAAAGAAATGATGGCATTTCAAATTAAACTGGGCATCATAACTGCAAATTCCATATTATATAGAAATCTACCACCACTGGCAAAATGAAAATGATTCCACATGTAATAGTCACCATTCACAAATCTCAAAGCAATAACTTATGCCCAGATCTTTTACACATTAAAGAGAAAAGTCTCAAGTGTGGTTCAATGTTCTTTGCTGAAATCACCTTAGCTGTTTGAGGTAGGATGAAATGACATTATTGCCTTCTCTCTCCAAACAGCTATGTAAAGTGGCATAGATTTGCTTGATTTCCAGGCGCAGATGAAAGTGAAAACTTCAGTTTCTTAGTGTGGAAAGAGCAGTCAGCTAAAGAAGGAGAGGATAAAAAACATGTTCTCAAATCGCTGTCTGGTTGGCCAATCTCCAGCTCAGAATGAAGTGTTCATTTTCCCAAAGAACAGGGATTGCTCACACCCAATTACTTACACCTTGCACGTAATCTCTCTCTCTCTTTTTTTTTCAGACATGAAATCAATCACTGAATAAAACCTTTGTACGTTAGGGGCATAAACTGTCCAACCTTGTGGCTGTTTGTGATTATAGCTGGCAAAATGAAAGATTGTTTAGTAGATATTCAGAGTTAAAATGACAGAGCAAAAGAAAGCAGCAAGTTAATCTCGTTTAGGACTTCCAAAATGAGGAAACCGGCTCATGAGGAAGTCCTTGGATCCCAATGGGGATGCCCAGGGCTCTGTTCTATTTGACCCTCAAAGCACTACCTTCATCTGGAACAGGTGTTGATGGATGGAGGAGAAAAACTGACACTGCCTAGTATTTTTGTGCTGGGGAGGAAATGAAATTTCCCTTGGTTTAGTTTCCTTTCTGATGCGGTTACCTTTTCTCCCAGTAAGTTAGTGTGCGATACAGCTGAGAATATCTCCTGGAGAATACAAGGCATCTCTTTTCTTAAAACAGAACCTGCTAAATATTAGAAAAATGGCATTTGTGGCAGCCCTCCTGAGTAGAAATTTAAAATTGTAGGATTCTGGGAAATTTAAACTTGAAGGATTCTCTTGGCTCTTCCATTGAGCCTAATGCTTTTATGGACCCAAAAGAATATCACAAAGAGTTTCTTAAACATTTTGATAAATGTACTTCCAGCACAGGCATGAGCAAACTGCAGCCCATGGGCTAATGACAACCCTCTGCATGCTTTTTTATAGCCCATTAACTAAGAGTGAACTTTGCATTTTTTAACAATTAAAAATTATCAAAAGAAAAATTATCAAAAAATATCAAATATAAAAATACTTCAACTCAAATTTCATTATGAGTAAATAAAGTTTTATCGGAACTCAGCCATGTTCATTCACTTACATATTATCTGTGGCTCCTTTGCACTACAACGGCAGGGTTGAGTAGTTACTAAGGAGACCATCTGACCCATTCATCTGAAAATTTACTACCTGGCCCTTTGCAAAAAGAAGTTTGTCAATCTGGGGTCTAGAGTATTAAGAAACTGAAGTGAGTGAGAGGAGTGTCTTCTTTTGCTGAAACTGCAGCCTAGGAGAAGCTAAACGTACCTCAGAGGTGTTTGCAAAAATTCAGTTTAGTCTATACGGACCTGTGGGAAGAAACAGCACCACTCATTTCTGATGAATGTGACTGAAATACTGAAAACTGGCGTGAAAACTTTATCAGGCTTGGCACACTATACTAAGCAAAATTAAACTCACCAGTGAGCTGCCAAATCTCTCCTAATGAGTACGCTCAACGATATGAAATCACAGTTACTGTAGGTCAAAAATAATTAAATATTGGCAATTTCCTGTGGTTCATATGACTTCATAAGATGCTGTGTAAAGAAAGCAGTCTGTTTTAATATCCATCTTCTTCACCAGCTTTCCTCTGTCAGGCTTTGCACCTGATTTTGCTTTATTTTCCGACACTTCACACAACAAATGCATGGCCCATGTTTGTTGATAACCTAGTAACGAAAGAATAAAATTCCTTCTAAATAATCAGCATTAGGAAGAGTGTTATAAAGAAAGCATACTAGGACTTGAAACAAAGCGAGAAGTAAATTCTAAGTTCTAAGGCTATCCTGAGAACTTGGTGTGTTGCTCTGAGTGGCACAGGAAGACTTGATAAGTTCAGCATGAGAAAATAGAATTGTGTTGCTGACCTTTGCAAACTATAGTTGCCAGTACCTTATCGTCAGGGCACTAGAACTATTGTGGATTTATATTACTGTAATCAGGTTTCTGTTTTCTCTTTACAGTGAAAAAACAGCCAAAAATTATACTAAGGATCCAAGATACATGTTGTGTATATACATGTATAATCAGCCCTCGGTATCGTCAAGTTCCCCGTTTGTGGAGTCACCCAACCTGGCTGCATCTCCCTCTGCTCTGTCTTTACAGCATCTTCTTCTCTGTGTATCTTGGTCTAATATCCCTCTACCTCTTTCTTATTAAGACACTTTTGTTGGTATTTAGGGTTTCTCAGATAATCTAAACTAAGTGCTTTCTGTCAAGATCCTTAACTTAATCACGTTTGCCACGTAAAGTTGATATTCACAGATTCCAGGGATTAAGAAATGAATGTATTTGGGAGACCTTTTTTTTTTTTTCCAGCCTACCCCCATAATGTTGACATCATACTGAGGTGTGTCTTTAAAAACTGCTTTTCAGTTTTCTGAAAATAAATGGAATGGAGACCAGAATACCCCTTCCCGGGTTGGTTGAATTTGCAGATTCCTGGACGTGGGGGGCCGACTCTATTAAAGCCGTCTTATATGAGGGACTTGAGCATCTGCAGATTTTGGTATCCACGGGGGTCCTGGAACTAATTACCTGCAGACACAGAGGGACAACTCTATATGAACATTATTTGTATGGATTCCAATCAATACTTTTTTTGTGTTGAACCACTTTTTTAGAATTCCATAAAATAATTACTATAATGAAACTTGATCAAAACAGCAAAGTCTTCCCGTACAGTGCGTAAATGTTTTCTCACTCTTTTGCAATTGTTTATTATTATTATTACTTATTTACTCTTCCACTGTAAATTCTATGAAGGCAAGGGATATGCCTAACTTATTCATCATGAATCCTGAAAAGCCTAAGATCATTTCTAGGGCATAAATATGCATCTACTTCATGACAGCAGAGAGAGGAATAAAATATCCAGCTATTTAAGTGACAAGCGCAATCTTGAATTTTAACCACAGCCCTGGACTCATCCAAGCAAATCAGAGTTATACTTCATGTGTGGCCATAATCAAAAGAAACGTAAAACATTTAAAAACCAAAATGCAACATGGGATTGGGAAGAAAATGGATTAAGGATGAATTTAACTTACAGAAAACCTGAAAAATATAAACCAATCAGCAATGCATACAAACTAGCAGGTGATTTTGCATTTCACATAAAATAGAAATTTAAACTTACCTGAGGTAGCTTCATTTTTTTTTAATAACTGTAGCTGCTATAACAATTAGAACAAACTTGACATTTTAAAACAGAAGGAATTTATTCTTTCACAGTTCTGGAGACTGGAAGCTTGAAGTCATGGTTTCGGCAGGGCTCCACTTCCTATAGAGGGTCTAGAACCCATTCCTTGTTCCTTTTAGCCTCTGGTGGTTGGCAGCACTCCTTGGCTTGTGGCTGCTTTCTGTTCTATCTTAATATCATCTTACTCTTTGTGTATTTTTGTCTACTATCCCTCTACCGCTTTCTTATAAGGACCCTTGTGATGGTATTTAAGGTTTGCAAGTGCCTTCTCTCAAGATCCTTAACTTGATCACATCTTTTGCCACAGGAGTATATAAGATAATATTCACAGATTCCAGGCATTAGGAAGTAAATATGTTTTTGAGGGACCATTTTTTTCCAGCCTACCACAGTTATAAGAACATCTTGAAGAGCTGCTTTTACATTTTCTGAAAATAAATGGAAGCGAAACCAAAATAGCTTCTACCTTGGAACTAATTAAGATTGTTTTACTATGAGACAGAGGATAGTCTTCTCCAATGGAATTACTTTCTTGAGATACTAACTCTGCATTATTGTAGCTGGAAATCGAAGGCACTTGTAAATAAACAACAGCCTTTGAAGATACACATTACCAAAGACATGTTTTCAGCATAAAGAAGAAAAAGTAAATAAGTTTTCAAAGAAAGTTCTGTTATCAATTTTTCAGCGTGCTCATTTTTTTACCCACAAGAACTATTCCTCAGCAAAGACCTCTCATTTAATTAAAAACAGACTCTAATAAATGTGGGTTAGGATCACTATGATAACCTATATTCAAGAACATGAAGAAAAAGTGGTCTTGAAAGGAAAGGCTCACATGTGTTCACATTTGATACCGGGAAATCACCGTACACTGTTGAGGGGTGATTACTACCAGCTGTAAGCATGTACACCACACAATACTTTCGCGTCTGTACTACCACTTGGAAAATTTCTTTCTTGCTCTCTCTCTTTCTTCCAAGAGTTCCATCAAATATGGCCAAATCTTTCCCCTCTTACTAAATAGTGACCTTTTCAAATCCCTATATATGAAAAGAGAGAGACATTGAATCTTAAAGAACACCAAGAAGAAACACGAAATTTGCATGCTTGTCCCCACGAATAAGATTGGCAAGACCATGTTACCTGACCCTTTCCTCATATTCTGTTATGAATCATGTTCTATAGCTTCCAGTGGTGTTGGCAAGTTTTTAATCTTAATGGCCTAGAAAACACCCCTGAAATACAAGAAAGCAGTTCTGAATAAAAGGAGGTCGGATCTCACTAATGCATCGTTTATCTGCAAACTCTTCTCATTGAAAATCATTCGAACCATCATCCCGACTATCCTCCTGAATTTCAAGTACGGCAAATGCTGAATCACTTCTTCACCACAATTCACTTCCAGAAAGTCTGCTCTCTTCCTCGGCCTGCCTTCCTTTATCCTAGCTAAACGAGGGCTCCTAGAGGGATTTCAGGAGGGTTAGGAAAGAATAGTGCGGAGAGGGTGGAGAAAATTTGAGAAGTTCTTGATCAACAAAAACACATCTGGTTTTTTGTTTCTGTTTTATTGGTTTTTTTTTTCCCCTTTTTAGGGGGGAGTAGGGTGGTAATTAGGTTCTTTTTATTTATTTATTTTAATGGAGATACAGGGGATTGAACCCAGGACCTGGTGCTTGTTAGGCATGTGCTCGACCACTGAGCCCTGTTTCTGGGTTTTAAATATTTAATATCCCAATAAGATTTCTTTTTAAAGAAAATGTTCCCAGTTTAAACAAGAAGAAAAAAAAAGACAAAGGAATATCACTTCCTTAATCTTTTTTAACAGAAAAGTTGAGAAGTGGGGGATGAGACACTATCAGTGTGGACATCAGAACAGTTTTTTTTAACTTGATGCAACTAAATGTAAATTAATCATGGGAATAGAATTTGGCAAATGCTCCTATTGTGTTCTAAAGTATGAATAGCAGAGCCAAGTAACTACAGAACATTTTGTCTTCGGAAAGAAGGCAAAACAACAAATAGTCAGTTAATTAATAAAGTAGAGGATGGTGATTTCTTTGCCTAGATATCACTTCCCTCTGCCACTCCGGCATGGACTGATGCCCCTGTGCATAAAAGTTCCCTTTGCAACATATGTCTTAGCACTCGACATGCTGCATTTTAATTGGCTGCTCCCCCCGTACACCCATACATCAATATAAACTCAGTGACAAGCTGTGTTAGCCTCTCTTGTTAAAATCATAGACTACTGCAAAGTATATGAATTACCTTAAGTAATAAACATTTGTTGAATGGAAGAGGGAGAAATAGACTCACACATTCAAAAGCACAGAGCTCTTTTGGTTGAGGCTGGGATCTAAAGACTCATATAAATTCATCCCTTGTTCATAATGGTCTACCCAGCCTCATGCCAACTACCAGCAATCTAACAATGAAAGAACAATTGTTCTGGGCCAGATGTGCTTCACATATTATCTCTGTAGCAACATTATCTCTAGAGCAGTTAAGTATTACTGTCCTTACTTTAGGAAGAAGAGAATTATGTTCAGATATATTCCTGCCTTGAAGTGGCCATTTCCAATTCTAAGCCCATAAATGTATAGCTCTTACACTAATGTTCATTACGTTACACCACCCTGCCCTGCGTTTCCTTTGCCCTTAGCAATGAAAAGCTGCTTTAGTCTTATTTGGACTTGGAACTTGTACCACACTCATGCCACATGGTGACAACGCGTGGCCGAGGATTACAGACCAAATGGTAGAAGCACAAATGATCAGAGAGTGAAGGACAGGAAGATCACCCGAGGCTGTGAAAGGAGAGACGGAAGCAGAAACTGTGAGCAGCGGTGCTCTAAGCCCTGGTCTCTTGCTGAGGCTTAGAGCTTGATAAGGCAACACAAACTCAGAGAGGGATTTCGTGTACCCTCAGCATTGGACATCCAGGCAAAGCCAGAAGTCTTAATGCCCAAAAGTGCAGAGGGAGCCAGGGTGCTTTCTGACGCCCAGTCGCCGCGAGGGCTAGAAGGAAGAGCCCATTCGTGATGACGCACACGGGCCGAAAACAGAGGGGCCTTTAGGGATATTCTGTTCTGCGTCAGATCGTAAGAGGCTTTGCACAACCCTTCGGGAAACGATGAGGAGTAATCCCCAATAGTGACAGAGACTGAATCTCCAGGCAGATCAACAAGATGAGAGCTCAGAGTAAAATCTAGTCTGATAAGTCTTTAAACAACGTAATGTGTCATTTTTCACATTCCTGAGACTGCTGGGAACATTTCATACCTGGTATATATTGATAAGGCCATCTGTCATTTTGATCATATTGTCCCTTAGCCTTCATTTTTCCTATTTGAAAAAAAACTGTACTTTCTTAGTCTCTTCTTATGGGGAAAAAAAACACCTATTAAATACTTTCATTTTTCAATGTTAAGGTATTGTTTATGTCCAATGGCTCCCAAGCCTGAGTAGCATTCACTATTACCTAATATTTTTAAAGTATATAGTCCTGTGTCTTATCCCCAGGAATTTTGATTCATTAGCTTTTTCAAACCCCAAAATAATGGTGAAGAGAACACTGAAATCCATAACGCAACATGGCTGAAAAATGGGGTTGCCAGACTTCTGGTTCCATTGTTCATGGGTTAACTCAATATGATCCTCATGCTTGGAGATTATTTGAAAGAAATCAGAAAAAAGGCAACAAACAGATCCATCACTGATTCAGTCTTTAGGTGGGATGAAATCCTTTTTTTTTTTCTTTCTTTTTGGCTTAATGGAATAGTTAAGGAACAAAATTATTCCATCAAGAGAAAATTATTTTCAGAAAATGGAAATTGGCGATATATCCACTGAAGTCTGGAATAAACTCAAATATCTGCATTTCCACCGGGAATGGATTCTGACAGCCAGGGTGTCCAAAGAGCTGACAGTACAGAAATAACCACCTGTTGCCGAGTAGAAGAAGAAGAAGAAACCAGGTGGGACGTATACCCCACAGAGGAAATTTGAGCAGGTTCTTGGCTTCCTATGGGAGAGAAGGGAGTAGGAGAGCTGGCAGCAGGGAGGTGGAGGAAAGGAAATCCGAGCAGGTTTCTTTGCTGTCTTCCATGTGGGGAAGGCAGGATTGAACCAGAAAGACTGTAAAAACAGGAAGATTGATAATTAAAGCCTATGTGTTTAAAGGCACATTTAAGCTATTAGAATGCAACAGAAACACAGAATAACTCCTCTGAAATTACAGGTATGTCTAAATGGGTATGAAACCAGGAGTTACCTCAGGCACTATCATTCCAGAAACTTCAAATGGCCAGTAAAATGCTCTTCTGAGAAAATAGTATTTGCAGGAAAATAGTTTTAAACATAGAAGAAACACAAGAACAAAGGAACATGCTACTAAAAATTCAAACTCTCAAGGCTTATTGACATGAAAGGCTTTAGCTTTTTTTGACATGTCTGATAGCAAACTAAATAACAAAGAGCAATGTTAATTTACATTTATTTCCTCCTTTCTTTCTGACCCTTTCTCCTGTGAGTTAAAAGGAGAAAGTGAAATATCCTGAAGTAAACATTGGCAGAGAGAGAGAAAAAAAATCTTGTAAACAGGAAACCTGGATCAATAATCATTATTTGAATAGCTGAAAGTTAGAAATTAACTTAGAAATGGACATCAACTTAGAAATTAATGAAAAAGGATGTAGCTCATTTCTGATGCAGCCATCATGCCATTCCTTGTTCTAAGTGCTGTATCTTTACTCCTCATTTCAACCAAGCAAGGTCTTCTTACCCTCAGTCTATGAAATAAGAAACTGATACTGAGAAACATTAAGTAACTTTTTCAAACATATGTAGCTCTCATAAGTGGTGAGTCTGAGATTTTATGCGAGGCTCTATGGCGTTAAAGACATTCCACAGCAATGTGTTAGCAGCATGAGCTCCCCCAAGATTCTGAAAAAAACTTTGAGAAAAGCATTTCTAAGAAGTCAAATACACAGGTACCAAAACTCTCTCAAGCCTTCTCAGAGCATATTGATTCAAATTAGGATAAAATATGAAGAAACTAGATTATCTCCTTCCTAAGGCCAGAGCTGATTAATAATAGCAAATTAGTAGGGTGTTTGGAGGACCGTAGGGAGAAGCAAAGACCCTGGTAAAACAAAAAGGAGTAACAGGTAACCTAACCATAGGTAGATTATCACTTTACTTTCTTTTGATGGCAAGGGACAGAGAAATTACTTAAACTCACTTAAGTAAAGAGACACTATTGATTTATATCTCACCTTCCTGTGAACCCCAGTCGTGGGGACTACAGAGGCTCAAACATGAGACCGGGACTCAGTTTCTTTCCATCTTCATTCTCTGCTTCCAGGTGACAACCTCCAGCACCACTGGAGTTACATTTTTTTTTTTTCAATTTCAATTAAAGCAGAAAGAAAAAGTATACATTTTGCTTCCGCCCATCCCACCAAAATAATTCTCAGTGATTGTTCCTAATTCTGATTGGCCCTAGGCATAGATATGAAAAAAACACAGAGTCCAAAGGGGTAGAAATCTCGGGGTAGGGCAGCATGGATCCTGACCTGAAATATACAGACTAATGTTACAGAAGGGCTGGCCACTTTAAAAAATTCCAAGTGTCACAACAAAAGAAAGAAAGAACTGGTGCTGACAGGAAAATAAAAAAGGAAAGAGAACTACAGATGAAGATGGAAAAATCTATGTAAAAAATGCAAACATAGAAATCCAGCTAAACTCCCATTATTATTTAGAGCTAAGCAGCCTCAAATAATTCAATACATGAGTTACCTTGAGTTTTCAAAAAGTTTAATGATCAACAGGCAGAAATGATATCAACAAGAAGAAAGAAATAGTATAAAATTTTAAAAGTTAGCATCTATATATTGTTGACTCTGTGCCAGGCATTGTAACATCACAACCCTATGAAAAAGAGTTATGACAACCCCCCCCTTTATAGTGAAGATAATGTAAGGCACAGAGCAATTTCCCAACGGGATTCAATTAACTTTGCACAATGTGACAGTGTGAAAGAATGGTGATTCAAACTCATACTGTACGATATGAGATGCTTTCATGTTAAACATGGTAAAATACCACCTTATACTGTGTAGAATAGTTTAAATATATTGCCACTGAATGTAACTTTAAAAAAATTGTACTTAAAAAGGATAAATCATAGTCATCTAAATTCTAAACCAAACTTGGTTTATCACACAACTTGACAATATATTCTATATGAGATCTTAACATAGACTCTTCAAATATAGTTTATTGTTACTCTTTGTGCTCAGTTCTTCAGATATTGACATGATTATTAGGAATCTACTGTGTTCCAGGCATTATGCAACATCTGGTTTGCAATCTATACTTACATTCCACTATCAAGCAGGTCTGGACTGCATTCAAAGTTTAATATCGACAATGGCTGTAAATTTGTCATTAAATATCTATCCAAAAAATTTAAATATTAACAATAACCATATTCTGTGACTGCTCAGTGGGAAATAAAATAATTAATAGCAGTAACAACGAATTCATTTTTGTGCAGATAAAATATTGGATGCCAAAATATGTTAACACTTCAAGTTGTTAAGTACCCATCCACCAGTTACTCAGCAGAGATTGGCAGGCATTTTTATCAGGCATTCTTAAACAATTCTCTGAATTTTTATGTTCATGGTTAAGTGTCTACTCATACAGTGTAGGAAAAAAAAAAGACAGCAGAAACACTTCACAAAGATCTTTTATACAACTGAGGAACACTTCTTATACAACTTAACAAATTTTACCTAATACAGTGATTTATACATTTTCCTTTCTTTTGCACTTGACTGGAACTGATTTATAGAAGATGTCTTTACACATATTTGATTGATTATTTTTCAAATAAGAATCAAATAGACCAACAGGAAATACTAATTTGTAAAGGGAAAAATGGCAAAAGTAGTTTTCTGTAATTTGAGTACTTAAGTAGCATGCTTGTGTATGGGGGATCCTTTTTGGGATGTAGTTGGAGGAAGGAAGAAAGTGAGATTCCATTGAGATTTATTTCCCTTTAAATTTCCTTTGACTTTCTTCTGCCCCTGACGTCTAGGCTATGTTCCCTCCAAGGAAGGGCATTTTCTTTTGAAGTTGAATAACAACTTCATTATCATTTTCATGTTTTTTTTTCTCATGCTGAAAACATCTTAGTTTCATAATCAAATCTCTGTGAGTCTAGTAACTCAAAAATTATTTCTTCTGCTTCATGGAAAGTTTTCAACTCCAAGTAGAACCTTTACCCTCACCCTGACAAATAACCTAACCTAGAGAAAGATAAATTGCTCCAGGCTTCCCAGGAATAAATATTGAATACATTGAACACATCCACTCACCAAATGGAAAGCAGTGAGGAAAAGTCTAACCACCTGAGTCAGAATTTCTGGGTTCAAATCCCATTATGTTACTGTCTTAGTCCATTCTGACTGCTGTAACAAAATTCCACAGAATGAGTGGCTTATAATCAACAGACATTTTTTCCGACAGTTCTGGAGGCTAGAAGTCTAAGGTCAAGGTGCCAACATGGTCGGGTTCTCATGAAAAAGCCCTCTTTCCTGTCTCAGACTGCCGACTTCCCATGTTATCTCATGTAGTGGAGCAAGCACTCTGGGGTCTGTTTAATAAGGCATGAGTCCCAGTCATGAGAGCCCTGTCCTCATGATCTAATTACCTCCCAAAGGCCCCACCTCCTAATACCATCACCTTGGGCATTAGGTTTTTCACACATGAATTTTTGGGGGAACAAAAATGTTCAGACCATATCAGTTACTTATAGCCGTGTAACCTTGGGATTTGACTCAACATTTCTGTTCCTTAAGGTGCTCATGTGGGTGCTGACCTCATGCTGGTACCTCACGCATCACATATGCTACTGAGCACATGGCCTAATACAGAGGAAATAGCCAATAAATTTTGTGTATTATTGTGGCTGTTCTTCAATAATTGTATGATACTTGTATCGCTTAACAAGAAGATTTAGGTGAATTACATAGATTCACGAAGAATGGGTGGGATTTCCACAGTGGAAAATGGATTGTTGTGAGGAGGAAGAGGTGCTGAACAAAAGAAAAAAGAAGCAAGAAACATCAATAGAGGCATGGTGGCTAGAAAATAGCAATTAATTAGTTAAGGCTGGGACATAAAACACTTATTTGATTAGTGTTAGAAAGAAGACGAGAAACACATTTTTCCCTCTGGCCTGGATTTGGTGGTGCTCAGGGAGCCTTGGTTTCCTTCAATGTATTATAGATATACTGTAGTGACCTCGGGCTTAGAAGAGCAAGTGACTCAGGATAAACCCCTGATCTTGTTACTTACTTTTGTGCAACTGGAGGAAAAAACACTTAACCTCGCTGAGTCTTAGTTTTTAACAAATAAAACGGGAAAGATACCACTTAGTACAGTAATTGCCATGACTCAAAGTAATAAAAAGATTAAAACAACTCTTACCTTTGAATGAGTGCCAAGCATTGTGCTAATGTCTTTGCATCCATATTTTATTTAATCCCTTCAACTTCTCCAGGATAATAAATGAAGAATGACTATCACACCAGAACTGCATGTGGATTCAGGGCCTGACACAGAGGCTGCCAAAAAACAAACAAACAGACTAACCACCCATTTGTTATAAGAAAGAGTAAACTCCTTTGAGTTTCCATAGACTACAGAGGTGGAGGTCAAGACAAATTTTAACTCGATTTCTGAGCTGAGACAATTCCAACTTACATCTGAATTATAATAATTTGCTCCATTCCTGATGGCATTGCTGTTAGGATAAACACATTCAGTATAGTATATAATAGTATATGATAGAAGACTTCTAATCTTAAAGCCCATGGTAGATCAATCCATCAAAACATCAGTTAAAGAGAAGAACAATAAGAAAGATACATAAATATTTCATCTAACTTAAAACTTTCAAAACGTACATTTATTGACCAAACTTTTGATGTAAAGCCAAGACATTTCTTTGAGTACAACTTCACTGATTTGAAATCTGCATCATTTCTCTTTTTTAAATTAATCAATTCACTCATTTTTACTGAAGTATAGTCAGTTACAATGTGTCAATTTCTGGTGTACAGCTATGTTGTTTTGGCCATACATATACATGCATATATTTGTTTTCACATTTTTTTCATTGTAGATCATTACAAGATATTGAATATAGCTCCCTGTGCATATTTCTCTTATGAAAACCATACTCATAATGCATCTGTGAGATTTCCACATTTGTTTCTACAAGTTGGAGCAGAATCTGTGAAAAAACCCTTGCAAAGCAACCTGAATGCAGACACTTTACAGATTTTTTTCACCACTTAAAAAAATTTATTGTGTCCATCTATATTCTAAAGCATTTTTAAATGATGTAGAGCATTTCTGTTTTGCAAATTACAAAGCTTATTTTTCATAGAAACAGTGATCTTCTTTCATGCTTATATTTAATTAGTTTGATTGATATTTCATTAAATTACATAAGGACTATAAAGTGCTGCAGACATGAACTGATTTGGGAATCACCATGCTTGACACTTGGTAAGCATTCAGCTCATTTGATGAGACTAGAGGTGCGTGGACATCTTGAGAAAAGCCTGCTAGTCAGCGTTCAGTAACTGTGGGCTTCAGCCAGTATGAGTAAAAGAGGAAATGAATAGTATCATTTAATCTAGCAGTTCTGTTAAGTGGAAATTAATTAAGAACATGTTCCTCTTTTTCAAAGTGTACTGCAAGCTCTTATATTAATTTGAAAGAAGATACCATATTTTCTCAGGTTATTCTTCTATGACGTAAATACACTTCAACATATTTGATTTTACGTAAGTCAGAAAATTTGTAGCCATATAAAAACATCATTCAGGCCTTAGCAGCAAACAAATAAGAAGCAGCTATTCCAGATAAAGGCCTCTCCTGAAAATGTTCTTTATATTCATCTTAACCTTTGGGCATTCAACTTACTTATGTTCCAATGGTGGTAGAGTGTAGCCAAAGAGGTAGTTAGGTTTCTATATATTGCTCTACTTTTTATTTCAAATTGTTACTTGTGATGTTGCCCAAGGCTACACCAAAAGACAAACAAAAAAACAAAAAAAAACCTCTCAAGATTGTCTCCGTTGGATTCAAAGCCACAAGAGTGGTCCCAAGTAAGTCATCCTAATTTCCGTGCTAGCAGACTGGTTTTAGCAGGTCTTGAGGCAATTCTGCAGGAAGCGCTAAAAGGAAAATACATGTCAAGGGTACTACTAGCCCCAGACACCTGGGAACATCATTGGTCAACCACCAAATCTTTTCTGTATTACACGCACTTACAGTCCATTCCAATAGATTCTAAAATTTCATATTTTCAGCAATGGAGAAATAATGCTCATTCTCTAGATTGAAGAAAAGTGAAAAAAAAAAAAAAAAACCAAACACCACCACCACCACCAAAACCCCACTGGGATAGAATTTCCTTTTCCAGCAGTGAAGAATTTGTCAGAGTATAGAGTAGGAATGTCTTAGTCTCTCAAAAAGTAACAGAGTAAAATATCCCTAAAACTCAAGGTAAATATCAATGGTTATTCCCCAAGAAATTTTGCTCACCAGTACATTCTTGTTTTCGTGCTGTCCATGTAGATTCCTTTCTTCCGACTGGTATTCAAATACGTTCCTTAGAACTACAGCTCATAGACAAAGAAAATGAGTCAACAAGTCAGAACTCCCTAAACTGCTTGTGGGTTGTAGATTCAAGCTTTCTGTTTTCTTGTGAATAAGCTCTATTCATCCAGTTGCTGCAGAATTGACTGTTTGTCAGTTACTATTGTGCGTAAGAGCTGCTTTCAGTCCTCTGACTTGAACATGGTGAAAAATATCTTTATTTCTGCCACATATACGTCCTATAGCATGTCCACTGATCTTTAACGATGCCTTTGCACTTACCCAGAAAGAAGAAGAAAGCAAACTACATACATCGATACTCGCCAAGTGCCAGGCATCGGGCTAAGCTCTTTATGTATAAAGTGTTCTGTCTACAATAAAGCATTTCTAAGAGGTAGTGAGGAAAGGATCTGAACAATATTTTATTTTATAGATTAACTAATCTGTGATCACAATGAAAAGAAAATAAACTTTTCTTTAGTTTGGCACAGCAACACAGGTTTGAATTACAAAACTCTCTGGGAGTGGCGTAGGAAGGAAGTAAGAATGATTACCTGGTAAAACAGATTTTTCATTAGTAATAGATCAAACAACATACAAGAAAAATCCCAGTGCCCCTCCTCCCTCTAAATTTACTTTGTCATCAGGGTTATACTCATACTATTCAGATTGTAGAGTCAGGAGAGAAACCAACTAAAGATCTGACTAAGAATTAGATAATAAAATCACTTACTATTTGCACAATTTATAGTTCTGGTTTAAAGGGTGATGTCAACTACAAAGAAACCAGTTGCTAGCAAGTTTCTAAAACAGGTCAAGAAAGAGGGCTTAACAATTAACCCTATTAGCTACATTCAACCAATCAGGTAAAAACAAAAATTGCTTGATTAGGAGACAGACAGAATTGGAGTGAGCGGAAACAACCCAAAAGTTCATCAAATAGAACAGATAAAGAAAGTAACACATAGTCACACAGTGATACAATGATACTCAACAAGGAGCATTCATTCACATAAAGAGAGGGATTCAAAAATTTTATGTTGGATACAAGAAGCCAGACACAAAATATAATATGCATAAATTTATCTTTATGAAGTTCAAGACTACATGAAAATAAACATGATGACAGGAATCAGAAGAGCAGCTACCTTATGGGGTACAAGACCTGACAGAAAAGGGGCATGAGGGAGCTCTCCAAGGTGAGGGAAATGTTCTCAGTTTTCTGTCACTTTGTTTTCACCGTGTAACTGACCATGACAGAGCTGCTTAGCTAAAAGCAACATTCACTTTATTTAGCTCATGATTTTGTTGGTCAGCTGGGTAGTTTTGTTCACCTGGACAAGCCCAGCTGGTCCTGTGCACCCTTCATACAGCATTTGTATGATCTGGATGATCTAGAAGGCCCTCTGGCACATGTCTGGTTACTGGCAGACTCTGAGCTAGTTACCGTGGCTCTCCTCCAACTGTGCTCTCAGCTTCCAGCTGGCTAGCTCGGACTCAGCCCACCTGGCCATCTCAGGATTCCAAGAATTTGCAGCCATTCTTTCAATCTATTCCAATCCTGATTGAAGTGTTGTTTACATGGGTGTATACACATTGTCCAAATTTGTACTCAAAACCAGGGTGTTTGACTGCATGTAAGTTATATCTCAAAGTCAAAACATTCGAGAGAGAAAAATACATGTGTGCCTCCGAGGTGGAAGCATCAATATACTATAATATCTGCCTTAACATAAAGCATGATTTTTGTAATAAAAAATAGAAAAATATGAATTAGATAGATTTAAACACTAAAGAGAATTTGTTTTTGTTTTTACATTTTTTTATTGAGTTATAGTTATTTTACAACGTTGTAAGAGAATTTGTTTTTTAAATGAAAAGATTAATTGTAGCTGCAGGTATGGTATGATCAAGGCTCTAGCTCCATTGTTCTGCAATTATCTTTTTTTTTTCCTGCTATCCTTATATGGGAGTAGATTTTTGTTTCCAGATTGCCACTTTTCATTCTTTCCATTACAGCAAAATGGCCATCTTAGGTCTTACATCTGCACATTGTCCAGAAAAAGATGCAGATTTCCTACTATCAACCAGCAAACAAAAGTCAAAGTTTCATTCTGATTGGACCAATTTAGATCCTAAACCTAGACAGTAACTAAAATAAGTGTCGGTTACACGCTGATCTATGAGCCAGTCATTGTGGTAGGGAGGAGTGGACACAATTAAGGTAGCAGTGGATTAATGCTGTCCTGATCTCACGGCACCTACAAATTGTACAGGGAGTGGACTGGATGCTGTGACAGCAAAAGCAGATGAATTTTGGGGAAAGGGTCAGTGAGAAAAAAAAATAATCTACGTTGAGTAGCCAAGTAAAAAGCTAACAGAAATAAAAAAATTTTCTGCAGTCGGTTACAATTTTCAATCAGAAAATGTGGACAGATTTACTTTACTTTTAATCTCAAGTAGAATGGTTTAATAAGGAAAAATGTAAAAGATTGGCATGACATGAGATCTGTTTTATTTGTATTCTTCGATACCACCGACATTCAACTCCCTAGTTGAAGCTGCCTTCATTCCACGGCACCTGTCCTGCACCTGTTTGTTTCACTGTTACCATAGAGTTGTTCTGAGGGGAGCATCTGGACTTCGGATTATACCCACCTGGGGACACTAACTGGGTTTATTCTCGACCTGTAGATTTTATTACTGTGCAATATTTCACACAGACTACTGCTGTGGTGGAATGACCCAGAGACCTAGAAATCCAGGATATGATTTTGGAAGTCTGCCTCGGGGGCAGTGTTCTCCTTCCAAATATTTATTTTTATCATGTGGTTCTTTTGGAGGAAAAATAGCAGGAGGGGAGAGCTTTTTGACACTCCCACATTCTCTCGTAGATGTCTGAGCTCCTACCAGTCAAAAAGCATCTCTTTTGCTTTACATTGTCCACCTGAGAATTGCAAATGACTATAGAAGAAGAAATACACTTTAGCAGTCATTTAAGATTCAATGTCAATGAGTCTGAGGGCTCCCTGCTCCGAGAAAGCAAGACAGGAGGAAAAGGGGAGAAAGGTGAGGGGTCAGGACAATAAGAAATCCTGAGTGTTTTCAGAGAAGAGGAATCACTAAAGGGGAAGATTCCTGAAAGTAAAATTATAGTAGCCAAGATAAGCAACATCTGCTTTATAACTGTGTCCATTGTGTATTTGGGCTTTATCTTGGTATTTTTAATATAAGTACAAAGAAGTCTGTATAATAAAACACTGTCACATTGTCTTAGGGGGTCAAGGAGACAACAAGGAATAGGGATGGCATCCTCAACAGAGAGCTCGACATTCTGCCTTGAATTTTCCCTCAGCCACTGTCTGCCTCTAAGACCCAAGAAAAGTTATTTAAACCTCTTTAACCCTCCATTTTCTTATTTGAAAATTGAGGGTAATAAAGTTTATCTCACAAGGTGATTATGAGAATGAAAATGCAAAGTATATGAATTAACCGGTGTAAAGTTATTCTACTATTAGTCACACTTCAGCAAACATTGATTGTCACAGTGGGTGGGGAGGAGGCAAATAAGAGGGTAAAAATGAGGGAGACATTTTTCTTGTAACTACAACTTTTGAAGCAGAGAAAAATTTTAAGTTTGCTGGAAGCATCTACTTTTAGGTCCAGCAAGCACAGTAGACATTGACAGTGATATAAAAGACATAGCTCCTTTTTATACAGGCTTCATAGAGTCACCTAGGAGGTAAGACAGGTGCAAAAGACACATACAAAAAATAAGCCATGCAAGAACCCATGTCAAATAAGCAATGCAGTTATGGCTGTAACCGGTCAGAAGCAGCGTAGGGAGAGGGGTCACACAGAGCTTCATGGAAGAAATGGACTCACGCTGCTTCTGAAAGGATGACCAGATACAGAAGAATGTTGTGATCTTCTCTTAAGATCCCAGGAACCAGAAGGATTGGCTAATGGGTAATCTGCTATCTGGAGTGACAAAGTGCTTTCTGTCCTTCCTCTGCTGTGGACCAGAAGAGCACCTGGAAGCTTAGAAACATGGCCAGGGCAACAACTGAGCTGATGCCTAAAAAAGCAAGCCAGACATGAATCACCAACTCCATAAAAGACGTGGGCTTTGAAGTCATAACTAATTCAGATCAAAGTACAGTCATAGCATCTAAGGCAGGAATCCAGGTGACTCTAGTCATTTAGAGCTAGGAGGCACGGCCATGTTTTAATGTCCTAGTCTCCCTTTATGGAGGAAGCACCCCAGCCCTGAAAGGCAAAGAGTTACTCAGGACCATGCTGACCGCCCAGGGGCAGATCCAGAACAGTGGGCGTTCCCAGGCTGGCTGCTGCCTTAACCGGGACTTCCTCTAAGGCCGGAATTTCAAAGGACAGTTTCACCATAAATGCAAGCATCTTTTTTTTCCTCCTCTCCTTTTGGAAAAACAAACAAACAAACAAACAAACACTTGGCATTCTCTGGGCTTTAATTTCCCCATCAGCAAAATGAAGGTATTGAACTATAGTGTCGCCATAATCAGTCTCCCTCACTTCCCTGTCACATTTTAATTATTCTCCATATTCTTCTGAACATGTTCTCCTCAGTTCAGAGTTGGACAGTTTTGAGATAGTCCTTGATCAATGAAAGTAAAATTTAGAAAACGAGGAGACCAAATATTAACAGAGCACGCAATCTCGTACACAGGGATTTTGTGATGACACTGGCAAAGCTCTGAGGTCCCTGTTGGGAAAAAAAAAGACTCCAAGTAGATAAAGCTATCTTCTTGTAAGTCAGGTGACTGGCTAAAGTGGTACGTCACCTTGAACATGTACGTAAGAAACAAAGTCATGTGGAAATAAAATCAATACTGTTAAACTGGAGGGACCAAGGGACTCTGATCTTTGAATGGAGCCCTTCATTGGTGATATCTGTGTTTCCTTTCACTGCACAAAAGAGTTAATGTTTGCCAGGTGCTTTCAACTCCTTAGAAGAAAAGTGCTTAAATAAAATATGAGGTGTCACCTTGAGGGGTGAGCTTTGACCTCCAGATCCAGGGAGGATGGGTTTAAACTCAGAGAACTGGAAACTCACTCATTTTGCTTCACAGTTTCTTTCCCCTCCTCTGGTTTGCTGCTTATCTGAATCAGCTCTGAAGGTGAGATCTACATTCATCCATAACTCAGGGTTTGGTTCTTCTGGTATCTAATGGTGCTATTTTGACTATCTAACTATTTGTGAGGAAAACAAACTGCAAGATACCCTGTATTCAGGGGATCTCCCTCCCTTTCTTCCCTCTAGGAATCACTGTGCTGTATCGGAGACCATTTCCTTTCC